AGGGAAGTTCCCAGAGAAACAGTGCACAAAGTAGGGGTGCCTGAAAGTCTTTATTCATTTTTCATGGTGTTTGTTTGTCCAGACCCAAAAGAGAGGAAAGGATGATGAGAAAAGGCAGGTCACATTGAGTGAGAGGGTCTCAGTTGGCGGCGATAGTGGATTGGATCCAGGAGACGTAATTGCAAACCTTGGTATAAACTCCAGGGTAGCCTTTCTGGGCACATCCAATGCCCCAGGAAACAATGCCCTGGAGCTCTCCGTTGCAGACCACGGGACCGCCGGAATCCCCCTGTGCACACAAAGGATATGGATAGTCAGCAAATGGCATCAGCCTGAGCAATGAGCCAGAGATCCCTGAAATCCCTGACATTTCAGGAACCTCTGTCAGGCTTACTCTACACAGAAATTCTGCAAAGGTAGAATGTAGTTCTACATTTCTGATGAGCACTCTTCCACTGATGCTAGCATGCCTGACTTGGGCTTCAGGGGCACCACAGCTAAGGATGAAGAAGCTGCCTGCTTTTACTGGATGTCGTCCTTGTCAGATGCTTAGGATATGTGTGCCCTAAACCTCTGCTGTCATTCAAAAATTCAGATGTGCCAGGGCAGGGAGTAGAGCTGATTGTGTGACATGAAGGCCTCTTTGGCTGGGAAAAGGCAGGAGAGAAGCAAATGGGAGAGGAGAGGCAGAGGATTTACCTGGCAGGAATCTTTTCCTCCCTCCAGGAATCCTACACACATCATGTTGTCTGTAATCTCACCAGGGTAGGCGTTCTTGCAGTCAGTGGCAGAGAGCACCGGAGCCTGCAGGCACTGCAGCTCATCTGGATAGTTATCTACAAGAAAACAAGGAGAGATGGTTGATGACATGGCTGAGTTCCTTTCAAAAGAAGTTCTTTTTTAACAGGCAAGTAGTCACTGGACATCCTATTCCAGCAGTTGTCCTTCTTCATCTGAACAGTAACCACAGCATGGATTCCTTCTGTTTAGATGGAACAGACTCTACCCATGGGCCCACCATTCTACACTGCAGCCACCTTAATTTCTCTGGTACCTAGAAAATCATCAGTTGGCAAGTGTGGAGCCACTCTTGTGGCACATACGGTGGAAGCAGCCTGAGCCTCAGGACAACGATCCTCTCCTCTGATGCAGGTTTAGATATCATCAGTGGATTAGATATCAGTCACTATCCACCGGTGTAAGAGAGAGAAGGTGTCTAGTTGCCGCAGTCCGAGCAGGGGAGGGGAGTGGGGCCGCGACACGGCAGGGATCCCAGACACAAAGGTGGGGTGCAGGTAGAATCTTTAATCCAGCGTGCACACGGGGTTTTTATCTGGAGGGAAAGGGCCAGAACATAGGGTGGAGCAGGAGACAGACAGACGGGGGGACAAACCAGGATTGAGCTGTGGGCAAAAAGGGGGAGGGAGCGCAGGAGCAACCAGGGGAGGAAAGGGCGAATGGGGGCTGTCTCCTGCCGCAGCTTCTCCAGCCAGTCGGCAGAGAAGACAGAGGTGCAGGGAGGTGAGCAGGCCGGGACATGCCCGGAAGATACAAATTCAGGGGAAACACACAATGTGTGAAGTCCATTCAATCGCTGTACATATTTTTCCATTTCCGGAATCGTTCCCATTCCAGTTCCTGGTCCTTGACATCTAGTAGGAACTGTAGATCCACAGTCCCAGATTTTGCCCTTGTTCTCAGAGAACTGACAACTCTGTTGACAATAGTTACATTGCTAGTGCTTGGCATGGCACAGCTGAGAGCACCGGGCCACAAAATTAATGGCTCTGTGAACGTGCTGGTAAACAGTGCATGGGTGGCTTCAGTGATCCTGTGTTCATAACACAGAAGGAGAGGAAGGACCTTGCAAAGGCTTGGCATCACTGCAGTCAAACGGTTACTGTCCTTCCCTGACCCATCACTCCAAAAGTCCTGTTGCACAGAACTTCTCTGTGCTTTACCCTGCCCTGTTTGGAGTTAATGGTGAGGTCTTTGAGAGTCTCCCAGGCCCCCAGGGGGCTGTACATTCCCCCAGAGTACTCACTGCCATTGCTGAGTGTGTTGCCCCAGCCGGAGATCAGGCAAGTGGTGCCGGCGGCCACACAGCTGCTGGGCAGAGCAACCGTTTGGATAGATTTGCTGAGCTGGGCTGGGGTGGCAAGCTTGATGAGCATGATGTCATTGTTCAGGGTATAGGCGCTGTAGCCAGAGTGGCGGATGACTTTAGCCGAGTTAATAAACTGCTGTGTTGATTCTGTCAGGGCCAGGTTATGTTTCCCGAGCTGCACTTGGATGCGACTGCGAAAAAGAGAAGGTACGACATGTACTTTTCTGCTACCCTTATACAGCTTAAGAGAAACCTCTCTGTCACTTGATGCCCTTGCTTCAACATCGCTGCCCCAGTAGCTCTTTTGGGTGAGTTATCTTTCTTGTCCTGCATAAGCCGAGAGAATCCACACTGAGATCTTTACCCACTGCCAGTAGGGGTGGTGGATTTCTGTAGGGTTATGTATAGATGGCAGTGGAATATATTGCAGTGATTTGTAGAAACATTCTGGAAAAAGGCAAAGTGCCATCAGCCTGACCTCATTCCTATTCCTGTTCTACAGTGACCCTGCTTTAGGTGGATTCATGGAATGGACAAGAAATCATAGCCTGTAACTTGTTTCTCGATTATTCCATTGTCATTTCAGAAAGTGCTCTGCATTGACAGAAATATTTGCAGAAGGAAAAAACCCCTTTGGGTGCCTCAGCCCACCTGCCTGAAGGAGCCACCCATCCCTTGGCTGTGTCCGGTCAGAACAGGGCCACTTCCCTATTTGTATCTCATGCCTCTGAATTCCTGCTAGAAGTGAGCTGGAAGACAGAAGTCAGTTGGAGAAGAACGTAAATTTTTCCACTCACTATTTGTAGCAGTGAGCAGCTGACAGGACCCACTGGCTGCTGATGAGGGAACCTCCACAGAAGTGATATCCGGAATTCAGGGACACCTGATAGGGAACAGAGTTCTGTGCACAGGTGTAGCCTCCCACGATCTTGTCGTCATCATCCTCAGCGATGGTGGGGAAGACAACTGGGAGATAAGAAGTGCCACATGTCAACACCTGGCCTAAGGTACCTTGTGCACCCCACTTGTAGGTTGCGCTTCTATAAAACTCAGGGTAGCAGTGGTGAGCAAGTGCAATAGACTTGCTGCAATTCACTTGCTGCACCCTCCAATAAGGTGATCAGGCTTAGTCTGGTGTCTCACAAGTCCACAACTAAAGCATGTCCAGTTACTCCCTGAGTGAACAGAAGAACATAGAAATTTGCTTGATGGATCGGAGGAAAGGTGTGTCTTCCCCAGGATCCTGTCTGCAGAAATGGTCAAGAGAGGACTGAACACAAAAGCACAAAACAAGTCCGCGGTGCCATATCCTTGGATCAAGTGCCCGCCTAGAGTCTGAAATTTTACAGCTGCTTTAGGGCTTCCTGGGCCAGAACTGTTATCTGTGTGTTTCTTAAGAGAGAGAGTCTTTTTCTTGAGCTATGGACACATTCCTGTGTTGCTGGGTCAGGAACCCCTATGAAGGTGTTCATTCCCCATGTTTTGACACAAGCAATTGCAAACAGAAGACAGAAGTTGCAGGACTCTGCCTTGAAACTTCTGCAAGTTGAAATGAGGTGTGGCTTTCCCACAACAAGCTACCTTGCGATTTTGCTCAGAAAATCAGCTTCCTTTTACATTAAAGAAATACAAGTAAAAAATATACTCACCAGCCGCCCCAACAAAGGCGAGAAAGAGCAGGCACTTCATGGTCTTGATTCAGCCTCAAGCCCAGACAGGCTGACTGGAAGCAGGAGCTGCTAGAAATACATTTTTGGATACGGCCTTATCTCTAGTCCAAGGTTTTCTCCAGACAAAAAGTACACAGTGGAAAATTTGAAGATCCAAACGTGGACATTAACAGGCCCTAGTAGAAAGTACAAGTAATAGATCTGTTAATCATAAACCTCTCTGAAGACAGAGAGCTATTTTCAATTATTCCAGAGGGTAGCCTTCAATTTAAAAATACATTTTGCCTTTGGCAGATGCCTAGTTGTTTGTCTGCCTCATTCTTAAACTCAGCACCTGTTGAGAAGAAGTCTCAAACCCCTTTGAGATTCCTGATGATCCTGATGATGTCTTTCTTATAAATGCATATTTTCACCAGAAGGTGAATATTGTAGGTAGTGGACAGAAAGATACAATGCAT